ATGAGACTACCCAATGAGAGAAACTAGCTCGAAAGAGACTACCCATGAGAGAAACTAGCTGCCGAAATGAGACTACCCAATGAGAGAAACTAGCTTCCGGAAAGAGACTACCCATGAGAAAGAGACTAGCTCCGAAAGAGATACCCATGAGACAAAAACTAGCTCTCCGAAGCAGACTACCCTTTGAGAGAAACTTAGCTCCGAAGAAGACTACCCATGAGAGTATCTAACCTCCGAAAGAGACATCCCATGGAGAGAAACTAGCCGCAAAAGAGACCTACCTCTGGAGAAACTAGCTCCGAAAGAGGACTACCCATGAGAGCAAACTAGCTCGAAAGAGACTACCCATGAGAGAACTAGCTCCGAAAGAGACCACCCATGAGAGTATAACTAAGCTCGAAAGTGTAGATACCCATGAGAGAATACTAGCTGCAATATCTTTCACTAGCTTACCAAATAAACCAGCTCGATCCTCGACGTTCGCTCGGCTCGTTCGTTCGACTCGATCGACTTGACGCACTTACACTTCCAGATGGACGACTTGCGCTTGGTCTCGAGCGTCGGGTCCAGCTTGGAAGGCGCGTATCATTTCCGTCCACCTGCTACGGCCTCCTGCCCAGCTCCATCAGCCGCTTCCTTGTACTGGTTGCGCTCCATGAGCACAGCGCGCCAATTCGAGCGGGTGAAGCGCTTACGCTGCGCATCGGCACGTCGTCCTGCAGCAGGACGCAGACCGCTCGCGCGACGGCTATTCAGCAGAAAAAATGTTCTTAAACTTACAGTAATGGACAGCGGAAGGTATAGACATGGAAATAGTAGACACGTTCCTTCTGCCTCTAAACTTACAGTTAAGGACAGGCAAAGTATAGACAGGAAATTGGTAGACACGTTCCCTGCTCTAAAGCTTACAGTAAGGACAGGAAAGTTCATAGACAGGACATGGATAGACCACGTTTCCCTGGCCCCTTCTAAAACTTACAGTAAGGACAGGAAAGGTAGAACGTTCTCTGTCTTAACTTACAGTAAGGACAGCGAAAAGGTAGCACACATTCCTGGGCTTAACTATACAGTAAGGACAGGAAGGTAGACACGGTTCTCTGTTTCTTAACTTCTATAGTTAACAAGACAGGAAGAGTAGGGAAACGTTCCCTGCTACATAACTCAGTTAAGCAGACAGGTAAATAGACACGTTCCCTGGCTACTAACTTACAGTAAATATCAGCCGGATAAGGTAGACACCGTTCCCGCTCTAAGCTTACTTGTAAGCCACAGAAAAATGTAGACACGTCTCTGTTCTTACTTATAGTAAGCACAGAAAAAGGGTAGACACGTTCTCTGTTCTTACTCTATAGTTAAAGACCAGAGAAGGTAGAGACGATTCTCTGGCCTATTTAAACTTACAGAAGTACAGTAAAGTCACATAGGCTCCGGTATTCACATGTAAGCAAACACAGACCTACTAGACCATGCTGGTAACAATCAATTTTTATTCGTTATTAACATTTTTAAGTTATTCATATGTTTGAATTTTTCGTGCTCTAGTTGTTATAAGTAGCCCGACAAGATAATGATCGGAACAAGTCAATTGCAACCAGGGGTAGGTACAAATATACAAATCAATCACCTGCACGTATTGCGTCACGTTATAACGTGATTCACAGGATATTAATTCTTTAAAAAAAGGTTATGCACACCATGTGCGTGGCTCAATCAATGCATGCATAAAATCATGATAGCCATGAAATTTTCAGCTCGCCGGTCTGCCAGTGTATCGGCCAATTAGTAAGCATTGACACATCGCCAACCATGTAATACATATACATAATTAAAGTGAACACAGTGATCCACGCGAGCTTTCTTCATGCCAATTTACATGCAGGTCTAATATCGAGAATGCCACCTTCCACTTTCTTCTTACCTCTTGCTTCGTCTTCCTTCGCCAGTCAGCATCCATCCTCCTCCCTACTTCATCTATCTGCCTTCCCCTTCCTCCTCCAGCCACTCGTCTTTATCTCTACTCTTCTCCACACCTCCTCCTTTCCTTCGACTATTTCTCTCCTCCCACCCTTATCCTTTTCCTTCTCATTTCTCCTACATCCTCTGTCCCTCCTCCTTCTCCCTCCTACTCCTCCATCTGCCTTCCCTTTCCTCCTTCATCGCCTCCCTATGCTCTATCTCTGCCATACTCGTCTCTTCCTTGAACATTCTCCTCCCTAACGCTCTTCTCCTGCCGTCCTCCACCTGCTACAGACCTCCCCTCCTCCTCCTTCCCCTCTCCTGCCTACATCCATCATCATCCTCCTCCTCCTCCTTGCCTGACTCTTTCCCCATCTCCTCCTTTTCTCGCTCCTTCCTCCTCTTCTGCCTACCTTCTTCCCCCATCCTCCTCCCCCCTCATCCTTCATCTCTCCTGCCTACCTTCCTCCCTCCCTCCTCCTCCTCCTGCCTACCTCCCCATCTCCTACCCTCCTTTCCTCCTGCATCTCCCTGAGCCTACCTCTTTCCCATCCTGCCTCCCGCCTCTCCTCTCCTCCTGCTACCCTCTTCCCCCATACTCCTCCTTCCTACTCCCTCCTGCCTCACCTCTTCCCCATCATCCTCCTCCTCCTCCTCCTGCCTACCTCTTCCCCATCCTCCCCCTCCTCCTCATCCTCCTGCCTACCTCTTCCCCATCCTCCTCCCCCTCCTCCCTCCTCCTCCCTCCTCCTCCTCCTCCCACCTACCTCGTCCTCGCCCATGTTGCCCTTGGCGTTCTTGTCGGCGGCCTCCTTCAGCTTCCTCATCTCTGCCTCGAGCTCGTGCACGCGCGCCTGCAGGCGGCCCTTCATCTCCTGCAGCGAGCGGATCTCCTCGCGCAGGATCTCCTGCTCGCTCGTCAGCTCATCCACCTTCGCGATGAGGTCGTCCTTCACGATGTTGAGCGCGTTCCTGCGTGCGAGAGAGAGCGGAGAGTGTCAATCAATGCGAGAGAGACATTCAGCCGCGTTAGCATGATGAGAACCAACACGAGCGTATAAGATTGCTTACTTTGTAGCCAGTAGTTCTGTATTTTCTAGAATGAGATTCTCCACCTCTTTGCTCATACCTGCAGCATAACAACAACAAAAATGTTAATTTTTATCGCCCAATTTTTTTCATCTGCAAACATTGCAGCTATTCAACGCAATAAACAACCAATTCTACAACATTAAAATTATGCCAATTTTTCACCCACATTAAGCACACGGTTAGTTGTTGTCATTTCAATAAATGTTCAGACTTGGTTTAAATGATCAGCACTATGTATAGAAGTCGTGACACTTCCATACCAACATGGCTGCCACACACCACACACTACATTCGCAGCACCTGTCAGTACTCATGGTAGGGCGTGTACAGGAATTGTACCAGGGGGGGGGGGATCTAACCGTAACCCAAACTTGCGAGCACGCAAAGGCCCTCCCCCAGAATTTTTTTGAAATTAGACCCCCTTAGATGCGTTTTCTGCGCGAGCAGGGGGGGTCCGGACCCCCTGGAGTACACGCCCCTGCATGGACTATGCTAAACCCTCAGATGATCAGAGACACTCGCGTACAGCATCACCCACACGTTCCGACACTGCAGATCACCACAAACGCGTCGAAGAGGGACGTAAAAAATTATTGAAACGATACACAACGCTGGTTTTCATTTACAACGAGCCTTACCGAAGAATGTGTCGCTGACTGTCAGTTTATCCAGAGATGTCAAGCATGCAAATAGAACACAAACGATGTCATTCAATTAGTACATGCTTCTCTCTTATATATATATACAGCGTTCATGCAGTAAGCGCACAGCCGAGCAAGACTGCGTACGCAATCTCTAATCAGACCGCACAAGGTTTAAACCCCCCCCCCCTCACCCACCCACCACCACATTATAATAAAGCTATTATATTATCGTCTGTTAGGGTTAGGGTGGGGGTTTTGTCTAACCAACGAATTTGCATAGCCGGCTTATACTGCTCCGGCTTATACTCACGTAGTCTTTAAAGTGCACTCGCATCACGTGGCGACACTAGCGGAAATTTTACGGCTACGAAAATAACTTTGGTGGCATGGATTGTCGCTCCTAGTTACTAAAGAAAGGTCATACTGACATGCACAGAGATGCCAACACTTTTCTGAGCAAACTGTAGTGAAGATGTCTGAAATCTGTAGTCCGAGGGTCACGCAGTGACCCGAGTATGCTAGGGGGTTCGGGACATGCCCCCCCAGAAAATATTTGATTCCAAGATACAATTTCCTGCATTCTGGGACCCAAAATGACAATAAGTTCACACTGATATTTGCTGCTAAATACATGTAGTTATTTTCAATCATGTTATATCAATGTAACACTGAAACAAACCACTTGAAATATCATCAAAATGATTTTTTTCCGATCGTAATAAAAATCGTAGTTGTATGCAAACTGGTCGTAGTGGTCAAAATGCAAACGAAATTCGTATAAAATACGGATAAAACGTAGTGGTTGGCATCTCTGCATGCATGAAAAGACATCTATCCTTGCGGACCCCCTGATTCTCCCCTACTTACAGGAGGGGCGTGGATACATTGACCTGCATTGAAATGGGGCAAAGTATTCTAGCCCAGTTTCTGTTAGCATGTGATTCTCCAACCACGAGTTGAATTTGCATGTGTGGCTGCTGCTGCTGCCTCCGGAAATTTCCACAAACATTGAAAAATAAGCAGCATTACTTACTGCAGCCACTTGCCATTATAGAACATAATCACAATCAATTTGTAAAAATTTTTGTACAAACTCATTTTCTTTCTTGTCCTGATCCCATCGCCCCCACCCCCACACCAAAAAGTGAAGGCAGACTACGGCCTGCGCCCACGGCCCCGCACTTCTCTAGCAAGCAGCCATCTTTACATGACTGGACGTGAATACCACAATCCATTTCCACGAGGATTGAATCAACCTGCGATTGAACACACCGTATAAGCGCCTACCATCTGATTCGCCACTGTCTACAGAGGTTTCAGCGTGCAGGCAAGCAGGCACAGGCAGGCAGTTCATGCACCGGAAAAAAAAGGCAAAACAGACAAAACTTCGGCGCGAAATCGCTACGACAAACTAAACCGTGCGTGAGCTATAGACTAGCATGTGAGAAGTGGACACGCATGTGTGCTTGTGCAGTAGTCAGGGCAGGAATTTATAAACATGTACTTCTCCAAGTGGTAGAGTAACCAATGAATGTCACTCATCCTGCTTAGTCCTCAGCTCATACAATTCTGTCACATTTTTCTGTGATTGACGAATTAACCGTCACTAATAATTAACAGTCACGTCGAATATTGCCTTTACGTTTACTTTTTATAAGTTGGTGTATCGCTACACACATGTTAACCTAGATGCTGCCAACGACAGACTGTAAAAAAGCCATAGATATCAGAAGAGTGCCCCAATTCCGGCCCCGACTAGTCCACTCTTCACATATACATGTCATGTTCATTGTCGCATACACGTGCACATGCATGTACGCACACAAATACGAAACCATGCTCTACTGAAAATCGTGCTTCGAATTTTACAACAAAACTAACATTACTAAACAGCAGTGGTTAAGAGCAGTACTTCGAATATTGATTGCTCAATATTTTCATTTCTAAATCACTGGCTAACAAATATATATATATAGCTCCATCTAAGCAACGTTTACAGAGCTATTTTATTTATTACCACAAAAATTACGTTACATCTACAAAGTTATTGTTGCCAATATTATTGAAATAGAAATTGCCTTCAAAGAAACATTGCTCCATAAATATTCCAAGAATTCGTGCAGGAGGGTGTGATATCGTGTGTAGAACTCTAGTACATTGTTAAAATTATGCAAATAGTATAGAAATTCATAGAAATTTCCGAAATTTCATTAAAATAAGAATAATTGCAGCACCAGTCAAGTTATAAATGTTATTACTTTTAATTCATAATTACTAAGCATGCATTCAAAATTCCAAAAAGTAAATGCATCCGTCACAAAGTAATTTTATTAACACTTCTGGTCAATCATAAAATTTCCTTATATATTACAGTTGACCAATAGATTTTGGTTGGCCAATGTGCATACATTATACTGGGAAGTTTTACTGTTGTTGTAAAATTCATCTTGGTTTAATATTGTGTCAACTTAAATTGCACAATAAACTTTGTTTGATATTTTTTTGTATATTTCAAAATCAACAGAACGTATGACTTCGACGAAGTTACTCAAAACATGCAAACCACACAACAACTACTTAGGTAAGCACACAGTGTAGGCGCAGATCGTTAGTAGAAAAACTAAAGAAAACCCAAGCAAGCATGCAGGATAGTGACAATAGAAAAAGAGACAGAAACTGGTGATCCTGTGTTAATACTCCTTTGCTATAATTATGAAAATGTCACGTATATGTGCCTTCAAATCACTCAACGCAGCATTGATCAAGAAAGATATGTTCAATAGTGGCAATGGTAAACACTACCGTGTTCGCAACACCTCGTGCATTCAGGAAGCTCTCAAGTAAGATATAGAGAAGAGCCGAGTCACGTAAATTTCCTATATAACGTTTCTAATTGCCTGTCATCACAATGCGAAGAGTGCGCGTGGTGCATGCTGTGTACCTTCCACCCTATCACTCTCACACCCTAATTCTCCCTGACCCGTTTAAACGTAAATACGTCTCCCACGAGCTACATACTACTAACGATGAAGCAACCGACGCCAAAAAAACCAACGCCTGCACCACGCACGTTCCTTAACTGTATGCTATGAGAACCGTGTCCATGGGTAAACACATTGAGGGGGGGGGGGCTACTTGGGGCATCCACCAAACAGGAGACTGAACAGGGTGGGAACACAGCGAGATGAGTGGTATACCAAACGGGAGCTTCACTCCAACATGCAGTAGCGAGATGTGTGCTACTTGAAGCCATACAGGGTTAGTGAATGGCCACATGCTAGCAGACGCTGGTTAGACGCGTAAACTTACCGGACGATGCGTAGTCACCAGTGTTGACCGGATAACCTGCGTGCATGCAACATGTAAACACGCAAGGTTACCGTCCGCACAACGCCACACACTCCACGACACGTAGCGTACTGCTCTAGCGTGCTTAATACACACGACAAGCCTCGCCATCTCGACAGTTAGCGTTTACAGTCAAACCTCGGTTATCCGAACATAAAGTATCTGAACAAAAAACTCCCCGCCCGTCTCGTTCGGATAATCGATGTCTAACTGTATTAGTTAAAGCTATCGCAGTCACAGTCCTTCATTAATCACGTTGCAATCAACGATAACATGCAAGCATCGCGTAGTTAGTCGGGACACTCTCAACCAATTATCGACTTTCCAGGACATGCCGACCTTCTACTGTAATACTGAAAATAATTATGTACTGTTCCAGTACAAAAGTTGGGAAACATCGAGGATTTTTCACCTATTCACTAAGTATTTCTCACTAATAAGTGTCTAACGTTGCTGAAGGCACCCTATAGTGCAAAAAAGCATATATAAACCTCGGGCTATAAATAGCTGTTACTCACATTCCAAATTATTTCACCCGGTAAACCAAAAACTTTGGCCAAAAAATATATATATTATAGAGAAGTAGCAGTTTTTTTCCTTAATTTCGACCCATACCACTCAACGGTGTTTGCGCTCCAGTTCTAAATGAATCGGTCATGACCAGCAGGTAGTTCTAGGTGACTGAGTGTGGGGGACGCAACAAGCTCCATGTGTCCATAAGCACTCACACACACACACTCACGCATGTGCACACACACACATACACACACGCACAAGCATACACGCACGGTCACACACGCGCGTGCGCACGCTCGCATGCGCGCACACACACACCCACATACACGCACGCCCATAGGCTCCTACGTGCAAAATCACACGCACGCACGCAAATACACCCCCACGAACATGCACACTCGCACGCTGACCCACGCATGCATGCTCACACTATCCCCCCCCTAACTCTCCTTAGCCGTCACCTTACCTGTGATGTCAGCACCTTCATCGACTAGACCGATCACGTCGGAATCCTGAAAGCTCAGCTCCGAGAACAACGAATCCGTGCACCTGACAAAATCGTGGAATTAACGACGTGCACGAGATTAAAATTCGAAAACAATTAAAACGGATGACTCGAACCAGGTCAGCTCGTGCGCAAATATATTTGCCCGAATTTTTTATATTTTTTTGGCAAAACCTAACAATATTAGACTAAGATATATGTGATAGAAAGTTCACCACAGAGACGAATGTATGATGGCAGTGCTATCGATCATAGAGAGTGATGATATGTAAGCATAGCGGCAGTGTAGCGGAGCCAGGGTTAAACCGACTCCACCGTTAGCTCGTTAGCATCGGAAACAGGAGAAAGAGCACCTTGTAGGGTTACAGACGGGCCGCTGGGTCTCCTCGGGTAACATGGTCACTTCCGGATCAGGAGACAGGGTATCCGTCAGGCTGTCCGTCCAACCTGTCACCATAACAACAGCAGGGATGTAGACTACGAGCATCTCCAATTGTTTTTCCCATCCTCTAATCATTCAGAATACACGTCGGTCCCTAATCATAAGGTCAGTTTCGGGTGCAGTATCACCCGTGGCGCATTTTGACAACGCCGGTTACCTGTGGACATGTCGTGTTGACCTATCCGATCGGTCAGCTGAGACTTGTCCTCGGTGGCGATTTCCTTCTTCTGATTGTCTCCAGCGCCCTCTATCTCCGACCTGAAACCCGACGGTAGCATGCTTTAACCGCGAGAGTCGACACGCGCGAGCGCTGCACCGAGACGAAGAGTCACAGCAGCGACATGGCGACATGCAGACGCGCGGCGCCATGCGCGCGCGTGGATGCGGGTGTGTGTGTGCGGGTGTGTGTGTGCGGGTGTGTGTGCAAGCCATGCAGTCAGTACTTACTCCAGGTTGATGCCGTAGCCGCGGGGCGAGCGCAGTGACTCCTGGTCCAGCGAGGACGGGCTCCCGCTGCGCTGGCGCTCGTGCACCAACACCACCCCCACCGCCGGCGCCACCTGCGGCGATCTAGGCGCAAAACTAAAGCCCTGCTGCCTAAACCAGAACGAAACAAAAGCACGGCACGATGAAGCGCCCCCAAGCTCCCGTTCCTCGGCCGCTGGCGAGGGAATCGACTGGGGTAAGCTCATGCGATCTCGCGGGATGCAACCGATATTCACACGGGCTCACTGAGTTCACGGGTTGGGCAGGCATCTATCGGGCTTACCGAAACCACAGTCGCATGCAGCGGAGAATAGAAGGCCTCAACCCAGCATTCTTAGCGCAAGCAAATCTGCAGACACGCGATACAAGTGTCTTCATGTCGAAAGCCATTCACACAGAAGCAGCGCCCGCTAAACGAGTGCGATCGAGTTTCGCCACCTCCCCCCTCCCCCCCCCCACACAATCTTCACTTGGCACAAGCGACGACGAGCAACGCACGACACGCTACACGAATCACGTCACAAGTACATGTGAAACGTACCGGACACCCGGAGTTTCACCGTCGCGCCGTTACGAACGTACTCGCGACGTGCGCGGCCCCGCGGCTGCTGTGGTACGACGACCATCGCCCTTCGATCCACTCTCGCCTCGCGCGCCGTCACGACGTGACATGGATGGACCCCCCCCTGCCGCAGCATTTACCTGTTTCTCACTCCCGGACTAACCAGCGGCTCGTTCCTCTCTGAGCTCATTATCAACTTTGTTCTCTCCACATAGTCCATGTGAGTCTTAAACAACTGCAAGCATTCACGCGAGACGATTCGTTAACGCGGTGCCACTCGTCACAACGCACATGCCGACGTGGACGTGAAAAAAAAAAAAATCACTTGGAACTAGGAGTGACATATCTTCATATAAATTCTAACAGAGAGTACAGTTTTATATCATTCCTAGAAGCAATGTATTTTTATAGCAATCCACCGTATTGATGTATTTTTTGTAACATAGCAACCCTAGTAGTGAGTCATTTTTATATCTATCATAACAGTGATATATTTTTAAATCAATCATAATAGTTATATATTTTCATATCACTCTGATAGTAATGACATTTTTCATATCATTCCTACTATTGACATTTTTCATATTTCTAGTAGTGACATTTTTTTATATCAATCCCAGTAGTGACATATTTTATAGCAATCCTAGTAGTGAAATATTTTTACATGTACATACAACTTAGTAATGATATATTTTTGCCGATATGGGTATGGGGCTGAGCAGAGAGGGTAGAGCATTTGTCCAAGTACAGCAGGGATATGCAGCACACATTTACCTCGGTGTATCTGTCATGTAGCGTGCTATACTCTCGCTTTGCATCAGCCTCCTTCTCATCCAACCGTGCCACTGAAACCATGGACCATTACGATGAGAAACTTGCGGGAAGATAAATCAAGTATAGAAGATGTGCATTTACGTTTATACAGTTAAAATTTCTTTTGGGGTTTCGAGCTACAATGCATCGACGAAAGTAATGAACTTCATTCAAAGAGATTTACGCACTAATTGCATATCTATATCTATATTTTTGCCCTCCTGCAAACACCACCCACTTGCTTATCGTGAAACCTACACATACTGTACACATCTACTAAATAGTGTCGCCTTCTTTATGCTAAATAATGTATCACTGCCAATGCAGTTCTGTTAATTTCTCCCACGGCCTCCAACTTTCCCATCTGTCTGCGAAAATTCTACTGCCACTGCCCCCAGTTTCTACCCTACGTTAATAAACAAGCCACAGTAAAGTTATCTTGTTTAAACCGTACCATGGTCCGACGCGTTCTTTCCCTTGAGCTCGAGCATGCGGACAAAAGATTCAAGCAACTCCACCTTCTCCTCCTGCTTCTTCGTCTCCTCCTCGATTGCATCTTCGACTTCAAAGTATTTCTGAGTGTTGAAAAAGTAGTGTAAAGCGGTAAGTGCAAAGCTTTGCACACATGCTGAACGTACATCCGTACATGAAAATGTGGATCAATGCATACAGCGTTGGTTTTATGCTGAAATAGCGGCTTTCAAGTGAAACAGCGAGGCTAAAAAATGTACTGCAATACAGTGCACTTATTTTCTCCACCACTTCGTTAGGACCATGCATGCATTGCCCAGGTTGCCAATTGCACAGAGAAACCCACTTAAAGAAAATATTTAGAAAGTGTAGAATTTCCAGGTCATTAAGAAAAACAGCAAGTTGCACAAACACACGACCACACGGTTCCTGAGAAGTAATTTCTGAATAGTGTGCACTAAAAATACAGCTTCAATTACATCTCCGGTCCATTCGCACTGTGCTAACTGAACCTTTGGAGCATGTCAGATATATATATATATACAGGACAATGTATATATATATACAGATATATACAGGA